CCTGGTGATGCCCCAAATGATGGTAACGTGAACATGCAAATGCTGGGAGAGTGGTTATCTGGTTGCTGCCACTGCTAGCTCCTCGTTTGGAGGTGGGACTGAGCTGGGGTTTTGCACTTGCTGGAGTGGCTCTGACTCCCAGTGAGCAATCACTTAAACCCCTCCCTGCTGGACTGTCTAATGCCCTGTATAGGGGAGAAAAACTCTCACTATGATGTGTAACCCTCGCATATAAGTGCCATTGTTTCCCCTCATGCTTTTCTGGCAGCTGCTCAGAATGTTACGTTGTTCCTCAGCACAGGCAGATGTCATCCTCTGCTTGCGTGCTGTGGCAAGATGTTACGTTGTTCCTCAGCACAGGCAGATGTGCTGCATGTGTGCACATGTGATATTCCTGATTTCCCTGGCCTGCTGGGAACTTGGAACCGTGTGGTTGTATCCATGTGCCTTTCTAGAGTTTCTACATCAGACGTGTCTTGAGCTCTCTTGGTATGGATGTACTGCCTGTTACCTTCATGAGTGTTATGGGGTATGTGGCAAGCAACAAGTCTGTGAACAGCATTTGCCACATTGGCATCCAGACAGGTGTGTCGGTGTCATCAATGTCTTGGTATCATTTCATGAGCCAAATTAGGAGCCAAAATTACTGTTTCACAAACACACCATAGGGACCCATAAGGGAAAGAAATAACTTTATTCCACAGAAACCTGTACAGGTTTATTTCCTCTGCACCCTGAAATCATAAATCAGTGTTTCTTGCATTGGTATTCATGACTCTGTGTCTGTGATCCACTAAGTCTTGCAGAATGAGTGAATGGGATATTTTTCAGTTCACATACTCAGTTGCTCCTTTTTGTGGGCAAAGTATTGGGATATGGGTACCACTGATGGCCCCTGCATAATTGGAAATCCCTGCTCTCTCAGATGCAGCTATTATTGCTGAAACCTTTCTTATGGCAACCACCTGTGGTTAGATCACATTGCTAATTACCTTACAAATCTGCACAACCTCAACCCCGAATGTAGACTTTCAAATCCCCAAGTAGTTTGCAATGGACCTACAGTCTGGTGTTCCCAGCTTCAAGAGAGTAATAACCACTGGCCTCAGCACTAACATGGCTTCTCTGAATCATGTTTTCTGGCATGGAAGATTTGATGCAAGCTCATTAGACCGCTCCTTGGGTGTCCATTCCCATATTCAGAAATTCTGAAGCCACTGTGGGTCATCCCTTGTTGCCAAAATGATTTGATCCCAATGCTCCATGATGTTTATCCTGTCCTAGAAGTGATGGTCCACCCAACGCCATGCTATGACAATAGCAGCATTCACACTTTCTCTACTATGGTAGCTAAATAAGTATTCATTCACCTTCAAGGTCGTTCCTCTTTGATATGTCAAAGTTCTGTGCAAATGCCATCAGCATCTTGCCCATTGCCTATGCCACTAATAAACATTTGTCCTGTGATAAGGAGCAGAAATAGAATCACAGCATCATCCTATTGTTGCATGTCTTCCACTCAGTTTGGCAAGGGGGGAAGTGATATGATTAGGAGCTTCAACTAGCATATGTATGAAGCCTAGGCGGGGGGGCGAGGGGGGGCAGTGCCAACAACACACACAAGTCACTCCTAGAATATCTCCCAGTGTCATTCAGAACCCAAGAATACCATCCCTGAAGTGGCAGTGCCAATATTGTATAACAAAGGTAGCAGTGTGGATGTGGGTACGCTTCTGTATGTGGCATTGTACCCACATCCAGCACGGAATATGTGGACACTTGCTGTGTATTTATTGGGAACATGTATGCACATGTATACAATCCAAATAACCAGGTGTGCCTGCCAGTGTAGCTACAGCCTGCATGGAAAGAAATTTCATTTTGAACTCTGTTCCATGGACTTGGGGTATAATTTAGTACTATGTGCTAGTCTTAATCCACTTGAAATGCCATCTGATCTCTGTGCAAATCTATTAATATAAAAAATGACTTTATATGATAGCCAGTCTTTTATTATAATGATCTTTTCAGTGCCTTGTTGTATTTCATCATTGCTCAGATTTATTAAAGTGTAGTTGCTTTAGTTTTACATCTTGAAGGCTAGGTTTTCACCTCAAATCACAACAACCCTTCTATTATCCTTTTGAGTACTACTGTTCTTAGACCCTGATCCTTACGTCTGCGCTTGTCTTTATTCAGCGAGTTGTATTGAAGTTTGGACAGAGTTAGGGAATTTGATTTTGTTTTTGTTTTCGTGAGTTCCTGGTCATATTTTTGCTTTGGAATTTTTGTCAATCTGAAAAAAATTATGTAGGGGCAGAAAAGAAGAAATAATGTTCCTATTAGAACGGGTCGACAATTGCCAAATTTTGAATTTCAATAGAAATGTCACAATTCACAAGCAAGAAAATTAGCCATTTTCCACAAATTGCTACAAATTTTTCTGAGCTGTTTGTAAATGTTCTGAATTTCAGATGTTGAGCAATAAAAGGGAACAAACATTTTTAGAAAATATTCATGATAAATATGTCTGAACTACACACAAGTTTTAGCCATTTTGGCAGAAACATGGAGGTCTTCATTTAATAAACAATCAGTACAGATTAATAAAGAAATATAAAATATTTTTAATGTTATTTAACTCTATAAAAATACCACGTGAGTGAGAACTCAGCAGAACAGAAATTTCTTATATATCCGAAAGACTCACCAGCATTATTTTTCATTATGTCTCTTAGTAAGGTAAAAACCATATATTGAAGTCTTTTCTGCTTTTCACTTCGCTAGTATCTAGGCTGCGTAACACAAACAATGTTACTTTTTGCCTGTAAAATGTTACGAAGCCTGCCTTGTGTTTGCACAACATATAAAACATTGTCTACTCAAGTCCAGCCCATATTCAGAAGATTAAACAACTGTATCTTTCACCAGGTGCTAAGTGCAGATTTGTAAACTACAATAATTCCATAGCTCTTTTCAGAGGGTTATATGTTTTGGAAAGTCAGGGCTTTGCATAACTAGCTATAATTAAGAGTAATCTAGAAATTCTCTTGTCTTTTTTTTTTAAAGGAAAGAACTTTGCTATTTCTAAACTATGTATTATTTGTATTATTGTTGTGCTTAGAAGTCCCAGGGCCCCATTGTGCTTCACACTGTGCAAAGAAAATAAACTGACAGTCTCTGCCCCCAAATAACTTCTTTACAAATCTTAATACAACCAGAGATAGAATTTACTAAAAAAGCTTTTAATCTGAAACCGTTACAACCTATGGATCTCTTCATTTATGCTGAGCCTATGCACTTTCTACATGTTTATCTTTGGAAGTTCCAATAAACTTTTAAGTATAGAAAGCAAATGGGGGTCATTTTTTAAGTCACTGCTACAAAGGATAGTTCAGTATAGTTCAGTGTATGTGTAAGCAGGGGAATGATCCCGCTATTGTGGGGAACTTTCCTGGCTTCTATACACCCCGGTGAAATGAACCAGCGAAAGGATCTGAGTCCCCGCTCCCACTTCCTTTACCCCACGGCTCCCTGATCCTGAGGACTCCCCCTCCACTCTCCTGAGTAGCAGAGCCCTTGAAACCCCAACAAGGCTGAGCCCAGGTTTCCTGGGGCTTAATCCCTGACCTTGTAGTCACTAGGGGCAGGAGTTAGGGTGTCCCCACTCCGAGGTGCTCTCTTTATACTGCAGGCCTTCTTGGCCCAGTGATCACTTTATAAGGTTCAAAGCAAATACAATCTATTAACAACTGATTAAAGAGAAAAGAATAAGAAAAAAGGAGAATGGTTAAATGAGAACACACAGCCCTGCTCTGTAGCACAGGGACATCAAAACAGCAGCCTGCAGAGTGTAAGGACAGTCCACAGTCTCTTTCTTAGAGGCCCTGGATATGCTGCAGGGGGGCTACAGGCAGGACACGCTAGCTCTGGTAGTGACCACACAGTCTCAAGCTCTAAGTGGCCAGACCCCTCTCCCAGTCCAGAGCCTTTCCCCACACTTTGCTGGTCCCAGGTGCTCACCACATCCAGCTGCAGGCTGTGCTGCTTGGCCAGTTCCAGCTCCTTGTGTTGCTTCTCTGTTCCTTTTGGCTCTGAGCACTGCCAGTCTGCTGCTCAACACAGGGTCTGCGCTCCTTGAGTTGTGTATGTCTGGCTCTGCTGTTGCAAGACTGTCTCTCCACACAGCTTGTACTCCTGGCCTGTCTGTGTTTGGTTCTGTCCCTGCAGGACTTCTTCATACAGCTTGCACTGCTCTTTCAGCTCTCTGTCTTTGCAGGACCTCTTCTGCACACAGCTTGTTTGTTCAGAGAGAGAGCCAGAACAATCCCAGCTCACAGGGAGGACGGGGCCTGGCCTCTCCCCTTCCTCACTGGCCTGTCCAACCTGTCAATTAGGCTGAGCTGGAGTGTTGGCTGCTTTCCATTGTCTCTGGGGTCAGTCAGTCTCATGAACTCTTCCCCTTCAGGTACTGCGAGCTGGCAAACCAAAAACTCCCACAGAGTTTTAGTAAGGGGTAACAGTCCCCTTACATATGCAACTTGAAGCCATAATCTCAAATGTATGAAAGGCTAGATTTAATCAATTTACGTTGTTTTTTTACGTTCAGTTAATCCATAAGTACTTTAAATGCATAAATTAAAAATGATATTATTGCAGACTTGAGATTTATTATTTTCAGTCTAAGGTAAAATAGTTGAACGCTTGCTACACTGTTCCAGACATCATACGTGAATTGATTTTGTATTACCTTTACTGCATTTATACAGGATCTTTTCCACCTTATGTATTTACACTGTTCATTTGGTGTGTTCTTGGCAAAAGAGGTATAAAATGAAAGGCAATTTCTGAGTGTTAAAGCTGTGGTAGGAACTTGCTAGTTTTTCTTAATGTGGAAAACCCCTCAATTTGAGTCAGTTAAGGAAATCTGTAGATATTGAGAATTCTTTTACAAAGTGTTTCGCTTCCTTCTTAATGGGTTTTTGTATCTTGTTTTTCAGCCAGAAAATTTACAGAAGAACTGGCTTCGGGAATTTTATCAGGTAGGATAAGAATTAGATGTTCATGTGGAATCAAAGTGTGTACCTGTTTCATATATTTAACAATGAGCCATTTTTATACAAAGACTTTTTGCTTTGTTAAACTTGATAGCCATAAGTCATTTACTTTAAAAAAGCAAAAAGGCAAGACTTATGCACCCAAAGTTTGAGTGAATATTAACATTTAATGAATTGTGACTGGCTTTAGAAAGTGGTTGGGACTAGTGTTCCCTCTAAGTACAGCTTCACAGGTGATTAATCAGCCCTGCCCAGTCAGTCAGTTTCTTCCACAGAGCCCTGAGCTTCTGACAAGGAGGGGCTGATCAATCAGCTGTGAAGCTGTGCTGCCCCACAGCTTAGAGAGAACACTGCTTGGGAGCTGTTTTGTATCTTATGGTAGCTTATGTTGAAGTAGATCCCAGATTCATATGCTTTTCTTTATTATGACACGCAAAGTAATTCTGAGTCTGTCAAGGATTTCACCACATTTTTATAAAAGATGGGTATAAACTATAATTTGGTCTTGGTTACCCATTATAAAGATAAAAAGGTTTACAGATTATTCATTGTGGAATTAACTCTGAAAGGGGAAATTAAGCATTCAGAAAATGAAATATATCTAAATGAAAATGAAGGAAAAAATTCCTGATACAAACTGTTGGCTTATGTTTATATTGGCCCTGTGCGGGCAAGTTGTATGATGTTTCTACTGTACCTTAAAAAGTTAGCAGATTTTTTTTTTTAGGGCCAGGACCTCAAAGCTTTCTTTTCCGCACAATATAAACAAGTACAATTCCACCCTCATTCCAGAATATATCATATACTTGAATTTTTAGGCTCCTTCTCCACTCTGGCATGATAAATGCAGAAGTGGGGGCCTGCAAAAGTACCCCAAAACCCCAATCTCAGCCCTGAAGTAAAACCAGGACACACAAAAATTAACCAATACCAGGTTTAATAAAAAAGAAAGAGAAAAAAGAACTTTTATTATCATCACAATACTCCTGTTACAAACATAATGACTAAATGGAAAAGTCACGAATTAATAAACTCATGGGGAATTCCACAGTGGGCCAAAACTTAGTTACAAAGGAGAGAGAACCCCATTTTTAAATGCACAGACATCAGATTCCCATTCCCAAACCATAAAACAGTAAAACCTAATGGATTTATCTAAACTTTACCCTACTCACAGATAGTGAAGAGTCTTTTCTTTGGGGTGTGTCTAGACTACAGAGTTTTGTTGACAAAAGTGGACTTTGTCGACAAAACTATACCTGCGTCTACACTACCGCTGAGTTCTGTCGACATAACGTCGACAGAACTCAGCAGTTTTGTCGACGCTGGTAAACCTCATTTTACGAGGCATAATGCCTTCTGTCGACAGAGTTCTGTCGACAGAAGGTGTTATTGCATGTAAACTGTCCTTGCATCTACACTGCCATGTCGACAAAGCAGCTTGCTTTGTCGACAGAACTGAATGTAGTGTAGACGCTCTTTGTCGACAGAACCCTGTAGTCTAGACGTACCCTTGGATACAGAGACATGTCTGTCTCCCTCAGTATCTGGAGAGAAAGTGCTCTAGGGACAAAGGAGGGAAAAACCAAAAATTCCTTTGTCCCAGTTTGAAATACCTATCTGCATTTCTATTGACTGCCAGCTACCTGGTTAAGCTACAGTTAACCTCTTAATCCCCAGGCTGCTGGCAATCTCTCATTATCATGACAGCAATCAAGAGCAGAGCTTCTGTTGTTCTGTACAGTTGAATCTTTTGCATCATCCTGAGAATGTACTGCTACACAAACCGTTTGTGTTTTCTACCATACAATACTTAGGATAAGCCAGGGCATTCAGTAAACTTTTTGTTTTGATATTTAACGTAAATGGAGCAATTCTTTTATCCCCAGGCTTTGATTCAAATTAGAGATTCTTAGCACAGACGAACTTATAAGGTATATGTTCAGAAGTACCCTAGTAACCAGCACTATCACACATTTACAGAGTACATGTTTGTTGCATTTCCAGTACCAAATATTGTGGTCAGCCAGAGAACTTGCTTTTAGGTCTTTATAAAATTTGTTATAACATTAGCTTCAAATCAAAGAGAAGAAAATATATCTATATTTCTGTACCTATATCATCAATTAATTTGGGACACTTATCCATTCCTGCATGGGAAATTCTGAGACTGGATTTTCTGTTTTCTTTGGATCTTCTGGACACGTTAACTTTATTACATTCATTCACTTTTCAAACAAAGATAGAGGTCACTGAAGGAATATTTGAGATACATAAAGCAGGCATTCATGAACGTTCACAGGCTGTGGCAATCTTGAACTTTTGTAGCCTTTTCTCGTGAGAACATGTATACAGTACAGCAATAAAAATGAGACATTGCTGTGTTCCCTCGCAGAAATAAATATGTCACTCACTGCAGTCATTAAGCATAAGAAGGCAGGAACAGGAGAGTAGTGGTGCACCTTTCTACTTACTGAGCTATTTAGAGAGAGATTTTCAAATGCACAAAGGGGAGGTGGGTCTTTCTTTAAAAGGAAATATTTATTGTGGATTTGCATACATTTTTCTGTAATGTGTATTGTTTACTTTTTATATGCTTCAAGCAGTGTGCCACAGTAAAATAGCAATGTTTCATTTTTATTGTTGGACTATATAAGGTACAGCAAAAATAAATTAGGACTATTCAACATAAGGGATTACATATTAAACTGTAATAATAAAAACAACATTCTTCATTCCATATTAGAGGAACAGCTGTTAAATATATATCTAGGCCTGGATGAACACAAGAAATTCTTCAGTATGATTTATCATTACTATTATTATTCCTTTCCTATCTGTCACTGGAGACAGCGGGTCTAAATTTTGAAAATGTACTTGAATCACTTTCATGCTCTTATCAATTGGTAATACAAATTCTTGTGAAAAATCTTTAGGTTTATAAAGGCACCTTGAGATTTGTTATGAAGTCTTGAGATTAGTCGACCACATGATTAACCAATAAACCTTGTCTTATTGGTTAATCTTGTTGACTACACTCATTCCCCCAGAGGCAGCAACGGGGGAGCATTGCAGGAGCTGGTGGTTGTGTGGAGCTGACTTTAAACAGGCTCCCCAGGAGCACTGGATCCCCCCCAACTCCCCCATGCAGATGCCTCTGATAGAAAGGGAGCAGTGGGGAGGGTGAGGGAGATAGGCTGGAGCCAATATGCATGGGGAGATGGCTTTCAAGCAAGTTCCCTGCATGTATCAGCTCCCATGGACCCACCTGCCCCCTTTTCCTTGCAGCCTCCTATAGCTGGTTCCCCCCATCACCAGCTCTGCAGTGCCACCTGTTCCCCTCCCGCCCCTGGGTTCGCCACAGACAGAGGCTGGTCCTCAGCAGCCACCAGTCAGTGTTCCCTGTGGACAGAGGCTGGGCCCCGGGAGGAGACCCCGGCTGTTGGG